AAATTGGGTTCCGTTACACGAGGATTCCATTTTCTTCGGTAAGAAAAAGCCGAAGGATGAATTCAACGGAGGGAAAAGTATCCTCTCCTCTTTAATACCGAACACACTCGCATTCGTTATATATTGACTGTACGTACAAAACCCAGGGGCGAACGCTACAACCCATCTTCTCTATTGTGAAACAAATATTTCCACGATGTTCCTCACGCAGTTCGAGCGTGTTTAAGCTCTTCGCGACCAGAATTTCAAACGTTCTCCGTCGGGGAACGAAACTTTAGATAAAATTAATATACGTGGTTACTTAGAAATTCTATAATCGAAGAAAATTATTCATGCGACACTGGTTAACATTTCTTCGAATCGAAAAAAACTGAGTGGAAACCTCGGCAGGTTCGCACATCCAATCTTTCACCCGGGACATCTTGGAATTTTTGAATACAGATCCCAAATGGCATTTGCATCGAAGAGCGAAGTGGAAGAGATCTGGAGAGGTCAATAGTGATTTGTTTCACAGCGATCAGAGGAATGCATTGAAAATAGGTCGGAGGATGACTTCTTATCCAAGAAATATTGTACGTGTCGGTTAGATGCTCGTTAAAATTGTTACAGTAGATCACCATCACAATATACGTTCACAATATCTTGATATACGTTTTGAAAAAGTATGAAAATTGCATGCGAGGTGTAAAAATATTACATACACAACTACACATCGTTTTTGAAAGGGAAAATAAATATCGATTTATGTTTCAACTTTGACATCATTTTGCATAATAAAAATCAGTATACTTATGTTAGTTTAATAATTATTCAATCAGGTATTTCTAAAGTGGATGTTGATGTTCGTCGGTCTTGTTTGCTAGCTTCATAGAATTGCAGTGAGGAGTGAAATGAACAATAAACAAACGGTAGCGCGTTTAAACGCCAGGTTTATAATCCAAACAGCGCTGGACAGCGAACACAGGTTTAAAAAGGGTCCTAGTTTTCCGTGACATTCTATCCATTGGTCAATAAGTGGTTTATCTACCAGGAATTGTTCAAACATCTCTAGAGCTTAAATAAAACATATTGTCTGTCGAACAAAGGGAATTCGATGGCATTAGACGACAAAACACTTCTCTTTAGTTAAGTTAGTACAGCTGAGTATGAAAGAGGCAATTTAAGGGAATAAAAAGAAGACACTACTGATGGTATTGTCTTCGAGTACACAGTGCAATCAATTTATAGAAAGCACGTTTTCATGAAATCACTACACAAGTTATTATTGCAGCTAGTATTTGTTAATAACTGATCGTGTATCTATCAGCTTAAAAAAATAATGTAACAAACGTAATATGTCTCTTTTCTTATAGTGGAAAGCAATTAAAAAGGGATGTCCTTGAATCAGATACAATTTGTAAAGAAAATAAGTAGGTGACTCGTCGAAGAGGATCACGAGTCGATTCCCTTAAGAAGTTCATTAATACAGCTTGTAAATTGATTGCCCGTTCGAGTCGGATGGAATTTAATTTCGAAGCTCATTTTCCTGACAAATATCTTGCTGGTCTTTATCGTTTTGATTGAAGTTGAAATTTAATTCCAAGAAAACTTGTTCAGCAAAAGATTTACTCTTCTATGAAATCAGTTTTCTATAACTTATGCGTACAACACTGATAACTCCAGATTTGTTATTGATTCAAAATCCACATCCGCTGATGCTAGCTCGATTATTAAATTACGTAACTATGTAGGTCCTTAGGAATTACGAACGCATTCGGGACTAGTTTCGTGGAATTTAATCACACTACGACAAAGTCGACAGTGACCCATTCTCAGATTCGTCTAACTTTGAGCATAGTTCACATTCAATAACTTGGAATTTCGATTTAGAATTTCTCGGATTAAAAACGTTAACTTCTTTTTATTCCAAAATCGCCGTATACGTCTAGTTTTATCTTTTTTATCGCTATTTGTTATTCCGACCCGGGGAAATAAAAGCGATTGAAGAAAAATACGCGGCTCCTCTCGTTTCCCTATTGCTTTCATTAAAGGTGAAAGTTCACGTTACACAGGTGTAAACCTGAGGCTCAGGTGATCTATTCCATTCTCGTCTGAATGCCGAGCACTATAGAAAAAAGAATTCGCATTGTTTATCATAAAAGAGCTATCCATGGTAGAATGTAGAGAATCGTAAGTGAGTTACTGTTGGGAACGCGGCGCTTGGGGAAAAATAGCAATTATACAGAAAACACTAATTTCAACGGAGTCTCTCATAAATTCCGGTCTCCATGAAATTAACTGGCTCGACGTAATAACACAAGAGTTCCTATTTCTAAACGCGGAAACCTCGCGTTCTTAAATACGAATTAACTGGGCAAGCTGCATATCGTCCGTGGGTGTAAAGAGGAAATTCGAAAATAAAACAGGAAATTGAATTGCTATTTAATGCCGTCAAGTTTAATATTTTAAAAACATTTCCTTGTTATCCAGAGTTAATCATTTGCATGATTACATCAAACAATGTATTGTAACAAGTGGTATGTAAATTATTGTATCAAACATTGCGTCAAATATTTGACGAAGCATCGCAACAATTTTTACATGAAATATTATAACGCTTATAGATAGCAGAGTATGATGCAAAAAAATGGGTTAATCATTTTTCGCACGAATTTACGATGCTTCCAAGAATGTCTTACGCTTCGAAGTGGATATTTTGAATAATAAAAATGGGCTAGGTTCAGGTAAATATGCCGTGTTTATGCAACATCACGGGAACAAATATTTCTTCACAGTCTCGTTGAATATTTGAAACGACGCATAAAATAAGCCACGCGTTTCTGTCAGAGAGATAAGTTCAAGAATAGCTCGATACGCTCGTATGGCTCTTGCTAAAGCTATCACGAAAGGGATACAAATTGTATTTTGATATTAAACCATACACAGGTGAACTTTCACGTAAATTGAATGACGGGGCACATAAACCGTTTGATTCTGCACGTCGTAGGGCAGGAATGCTTGACTACGTGAATAATGTAGTAAACTTCAGCGAGTATGCCCAGTAGAAATTTAAAAGAGCGCAGTTCCTTTTCTTCCTTGACGAAGGAACAAAGGGCAGCTGTAAAAATACAGCAGGGCAGTATTTTTGCACGCTGCCTCGAGATAAAATCGCGACGATAATTGCGCTGGAAATAGACGATAAAAATGAACGATTAACCCTTCGCCGTACAAACTTCCTGTTTATCACCTCGTGTTTTTTAATGCATGGGAATACAGCAACAGTCGGGGTAAAAAATAACCGCGCGCGTCTAATTTTATCACGCCCCGAAGCACAGTTACCTATGCCCGTCCAATAAAAGCGGAGGCGAACCCGCGGTTGTTCCACGAGGATTTAAATTCTTCCGGATAAGATTTTAACGATCGTTCGCATTTGTTCCCTTCTTTCCCCGTACCTCAAGACCATCAATCATATTTCAGGATATCCACTTTAAGGATGTATTGGCTATACAGTTAATCCCAAAAGTGTATGTACCTCAGAAAAACGCATTTCCTNATATACTTCATACGTTTTATATTTCGTATCACAGTTTGTGCCGTGCTAATTTCATTTTTAATTACGCTGGGCAAAGTGTATTCTGTATATATGATTGCGTATGAAAATTATTAGAACACCTACTTTCAAATTATAATTTCCATTTTCGTTCGTTCATGTGAAACATTTTAAATTTATATTTTTGCGTATCACGAAATGTTTATTAGCACGCCTGAGGCATTTGAAGGAAGCCAATGCGGGGAAGTTCGGAGCACTTGAAACCGTGCCAGGAATTTATAGCTAATGAATTATTCATGTGAAACGAAAAAATTGTCTTCTAGAGACAAAGAGCTTTTAAATAGTCCTTCATGGAATTTGATCCTCTGATTAGGAGGTGCAGGAAAACCTTAGAGTGGATAAATCGTATCGAAAATGAGGGGACTAAGAGCAAACCAATTAAGACACTAACACGACTCGAGACGTTAATTGCTCCGACGTTAAGCCTCCAGCAAAAATGGAGAAACGTGTACGGAAAGTTTGACGATATTTTCTTGAAAGACGTAAATTAAAAAAAATGTTTATCAGTTAAAAACAATTTCTTGTACATATCATCTAAACAGACGCACGAATATTCGTAGAAATGCGTTTCACCCCGGAGCTGGGATTCTGATAGATCCTTTCTCCGTAGGTGCCTATATCATACGAGGAACGTGTGCTACAAATTTCGTATTTCCAGGATTCAGTATTTCATACTAAACGTTGATATAAATCAGTTAACGCTTCAGGACATCTTTTCTTATAAATTTTTAGATATTGCTATGTGAACTCAGGTTTTTTGATATTTACATGCAATCTTTACGTTATATTGCGCACATTTGGTATAAATGCATGAAATCCACGGATCAGACA